TGTCCGTCTGTTTGTTCCAGCTTATCTCCGAAATCATATAACCGATTTTGACGGGACTTCCATTTGTAGATAGCTGATGTTATAAGGATTAATTTAGGATACTTGTATTTAAAAAAATCTAAGCTTATGAATTCACAGCATAATAAATTCCACGCAGACGAACTTGCGGGAAACAGGTACTAATTAAATATATAAATAATACAGAAGTTTTGAAAACTAACATAACATTTATACATAAAATGTACTCTAAATTAAGAGTCTTAGTTTATACGTCCTGTGTATATAAAAATTATTGGTCCAGCCACTTGGTAATCAACTTTGAAAAATATGTATTTCCTTCAATTTTTTACTCCATTTTTATATTTTTCTATTTAAAACAATTACTACTTTATTGAAGTAAGTATAAAAAGATGACTATACCGTTCAATAATAACAAGAACGAAGACAGTTTAAAATTCTTATTCAAGTGATTCCCAGTAAGCTCAATCGGTACTACAGTTAACGGCATCTCAGTTCGATTGAACGCAATTCTAAGAAGCAAACATTATATCCGATCCGAATTTACAGAAAAATGAAATAGCGATTACTTTAAATGCGGCTACGTGCGCCCTCTTACTGTTTTTTATGTACCGCTTATGTCGCTGATCTGCGAAAAATGCTTCATGAAAAAATGGTTTCACGAGACACCGGAAGATGGCGCTAGTCTGTTAGCTATAAATGTATAGATATAGATGTATAATCTAGAATATCGTTATACGCAAAATAATTAAGAGAGGAAAAAATAAAACGTGCATTGTATTATTTGTATTATATTAATATACTTATATTTCAAAAGTTTTAATTAATTATCACAGATGTTTTAATAAATACAAATTACGTTTTAATCTTATCTAAAATTGAAAATATGCTTTCTCGATAAGCTTTAAAATTTACTTTGTGTGTTCATAAATTATAAAATAAATAAATAAGTAGTGTTTCAATACAAAATAAAGTTTTTACAATTTTTACGGTTTTAAAATATTTTTGGATTTTGTGTTTTTCTGGACAAGTACAATTAAATTAAGAAAAATTAAAATATTTAACATACATTTTTCTTATAGCGATGTAGTTCAAGACCGACAAAACTAACTCAAATTTCTATTGATCCTGGCGTAAAGGAGTACTTGGGACAATTTTATGCAAAATTACACCGCGACGGACGAGAGATATCGCGGAATCTTTATGAATTTACTTATTTTTTTAGGAATAAGCTTGACTATGCTGGTAATAATTATATAAATCGAAATAAACGTGCTACAGGATTGATCACTTCTTGAAGATTAGAAAACTCATTCTAATGTTGAGGTTGTACTCCTTACTGAGAAGGTGCCTCATCTTAAATTTGAACAGAGATGTCATTGACAAAGAGCTTTTACTTAATTTTAATTTCATTATAAATAATACTGAGTTGAAATTATAAAAATAAAACATTTAAGTTAGTAAAAATTTGGGATAAGAACATTGCATTATAAATAAGTTTTAAGTTAAAATAATAAAAAGGAAATATTTTAGTTAATAGTAGATTGAGATATGAATATTGCATTTTAAATAATACCAAGTTCAAATAATAAAAATTAAATGTTTTAGTTAGTAAACATTTGAGATAAGTATAATATAAAAGTTAAATGATTAACTGCTATCACAATCATGATTAATCCTTTTCAGTGAGACGTTTTACCATTTTTCTTATGCAAGCAAAAGAAAACATCTGCAGTAATTCTTACAACGTACATTTCCAATTCGTAATAGAAAAAAGCATTAGATATGTCAGCTCAGAGGCCAGGTGCTCGCCTAAATTTTAAACCCCTAAAATTTTTAGCTGTTTTTTTTTCATAATAATATTGTGACAAACAAGCCAGACTACAGAAATCTAAATAATAAGGTTCTTGCCTTATTATTTAGATTTCTGTGAGCCAGACATTAACCTAGCACACAACCTCATATAAAATAGGCAATATATACGTTGTTACTCTAAGAAGAAAGATAAAATATCTACATTCACTACTCAAACTGGCTTGCTCAGCAAAAATAGTTGTGATGATAAACATTTAGGCATAACGAGAATCTTATTTAAATAAGATGTAAATTTAATGATAACAAGAAAATATTTCATTGTAGTTGACTGTTTCCCATCACCGAAACATTCAGTACGGGTTAATGAGAATTATGCAATGCTTATCACGACAGGTGAGGTTTACATTAAGCAAAACATGGCGTAGAGGCAAAAGGGTCTCTTACTATGTTTATAGAATTAGGGTGACATGTGAGCACTTACTAATGGTAAGTGGATGCTGTAGTCTATAGACATCTTCATATATTCACGATTAAGTATCAAAATGAAAATGCGTTGTCACCTCTGACGACTTGAATGGAATGCCTCAATTCCAGTAAAAAGTCTCACCGGTTCTCAACACTCACCACTTGAAACACAAGCAAGTGTTTCAAGTGGTGAGTGTTGTTCTCTGAGAGCGTGGTCCTACTCCGCTCGAGCCATTCGTACGTACTACAACCATAATTAGGTGCAGTGTGGCTCTACCACGAGTTCTATAGATATAATAATAATATGGAAGGTTTATATAAACATTAATGATATTCACAAAACTGTACAACGTACGTTATAGAGTAACAACTTTCACTGGTGATGATATATGGCGAGATGAGGCGACCGTCAAGGCGTGGCACACATCGAGTGCAGGGACGCGCAAAAAAGCGAAGAAGCGATTTTTCACCGTCCTCTGTGACTCCCCTGCCACATCCACCCCTAGTTAGCTGTCTCCGCCGATTGTTTTGATAGATACTGAGGTCAATGTACGAGATGTGACTTTTTTGAAATTGAACCAATGTCACTGGTTAGCTTACGTTTGATTTGTTTGGTTTTCCTACAAATAAGAAAACATAAAAAGACCGCATGTGTGTATTTAAATTGTACTTGTAAAAAGTGTCTATACGTAATATTGTAATGATCGACTTCTATTAAGCTTAAAGGTGATGTTCATGGTATTGAGGCTTAATAACAATTTTTTAAATTTTTGTATGTCTGTCTGTTGGCTTTGTCAGGGTTAACCTTCAAGCAGGCGCACGGTCATTTGGAACGACAGCGGTCGCGCGTAACCTAAAAGACCTACGGAATATGTCAGAAATTTTAAATACTAATTAATTAATAATCATTTTTTTGTACTCAGACATATTATCATTATGTGAGCATACAATTTGTCGAAAAAAAGAAGCCTTAAAAACAAATAAAAACAAAATTATAAAATATACATTATAACAGAAGTTTTCTTTGGATAAGAAAGGAATTCGGCGAAACAAAATCATCTTATTACACCTGTAATTAGCGTAATATAGCATAATGCAATCAAAATAATAAAATTAGTAGACTCCATAAAATCAAATGATTAAAATCAAAGCATTTATATATATAGCTTCGGTTTAGTTTCCTTCAGAATAAGTTTCTTCGCTAATATGTGCAAATATTTCTCAGACATGATGTGATTTTTCGTAAACTTTAAAAATTAAAAAAAAACTATAATACAAATTATCTTAAACGTAAATGAAGCTACATTAATAGAGCCAAGGAAGACGAAGACATAAAATGTGTAAAAAGTGTAAAAAGGTATAAAATAAAATAGAAATTTTAAAATACATTCAACAATATGGCCCGGCCCGCTAATTTTTTAAGGTGACTTTAAGGCAGAAAGTGTCCGATACGCGACGCCAATACAGATGTCCTCACAGTGTTTTCCTCCACCGCCACACACGTGATAAATTAGCTCTTGGAAGTGCAATCAACAACTATACATATATTAATAATGTTTATGCATATACATATAAAAAAAAAAAACATAAACACTCACGCCTGTCACCCAGAGGGGTAGGCAGAGATTACGGACTTCCATTTGGCACGATCCTGACATACCTCTTTCGCCTCCTTTACATCCATATATCTACGCATACATGCTCGTCGGTTAAGGGTACTTCTAACGTGGCCCATTTTCAAAATATCGCCAATTTGGTCATATAAATATGTATATGTTACCGGCCAAACCCGATTTTAGGATAAACTAGATTTTCCTAGGCCAAACTACTACATACTAAATGCGTTTGGAGAAACCGGTACAGACTAGGCCAAACTGGTTCGTCCTATGGCCGATAGGACAAACTAGTTTAGCCTAGGCTGAACTTGTTGAGCCTAACATGAATTTGAACACTTCAGGATAAACTGGCATGACCTAGTGTATACTAACAGGGAATAAAAAATACCAGAAGTAATAAAATCAAGATGCATTTGTTAATCAGATCAAAGTCAATTTTACTTATTTTTGCACGTTGTAGTCTGAAGGCACTTGGAATTGCACAGCACCACTTTTTTCTTGCATTTGTACCTGTTTGTTAAACAGTTCCTTATGTAGCTGCACCTTACAAATCCTTGCCCTGATCCAACCGAATGTTTAGTGGCTGCAGTCCTCAGTGATATTTCAATATCTTGGTTGACATCGCCTACCTTTAAAAATTTCTGAATGCAAATATCAAATTCAGTTCTGAAAGAAAAGAAAAAAAACAAGTCTAAGCTAATACTTTTCAATCACCAGAAAAATATGGTAATATCGGTGTGGCCGTGGTAGGAAAAGGGGAGATCTCCCGCCGGGCAAGGTGTTCTGCCCGGGGAGCGGCCAACGCTCCGTGTGATAGTTCGGAGATGTTCTATATATACTGTTTATGATTCGGAATGTTGATAGCGTGATTTAGGCTTTGGTGTATTTCGCTTGTGGTGCGACGACAGCGCTGCCACATCGGCTTTGAATTATATTATTAACATGGGCTTTAATAATCTTTTTTGCAATTAAAAATTTAATAATAATTTTTGCAATACACCATGTTTGGTGCCAACTTTGTAAAGACTCCCATCATTTTTCTGAAGGATTACCCCAATGATGTATCTGAGGTCACCTCTTCCTTTGTTACTTCTGGAATTGGTATAATAATGTTGTCTCCAATGTTGGTGGGTGGATGGGATTTGTCCGAAGATGCTTGCATTTTTTTAGTTTGCTTTTCAAGATGTTCCGCCGCCGCTTCATTAGCAGCTTGGTAGCATCTTCAATGTTCTGTGTGTCAATATCCACAATGCCGCCATCATCATCTTCACCATTCTAATCATGATCGATAATTTTTCTAAGGTCATCCTCATACTGAATATAATTTATTATTTCTTGCGGCAACGATGAAGTCGAAAGTCTTACTCTAGGCTCAATCCCAAATAAGGCCTTGTAAGGCGATTGTTTTATTCCAGAACGAAAGGCGCGGTTTTTCATAAACTGGACATATCTTAAGTCCTCCGACCATTCTGTTGAATCGTTGTCCATCAACCAAGAACTTATCATGTTCTTTATATCTTAATTAGCGCATTAAACGGAACGGTGACTTTGGCTGTGCCTAGGTTTTTCCTGCACAATTTTAAGTTCTGGCCAAAGAATCGTGAGCTCACTTATCACATTATTAACAAACTCTCTACCATTGTCGGATTGGAGAATACACGGTGCGCCTATTGTTAAAGTATATCATTCAGGTAGTAGGCCACTTCTGCCACTCTCTTTGAGGTTAACGCACGCAAAAAACCAAATTTTGTTAGATGGTCTTGGTAAACCAAATTTTCCATCTGGTTGTGTCTGAAAATCGATCAAATCCACCTGGCATCTGCTATTCCTTTCAGAGTGAAGAATCGACTTTGAAACTAATCCTTTCTTCCTTTTTGTATTCTTTTGTTGCTCACATCACACATTGATACGTGTAAATAGAGGTTTAACATTTCATTTGTGATATTAGCATACTTCTTGATGTCTCGGCCAACATCCTGTCACGTCCAACATGTCCCACCGCCACATGAGATGCATCGACCAAATCATAAAGTTCATCAGCCTGTAGATAGTATTTTATATTCCCAACCGTCCGAGCTATTAGAGTCTTTTACATCTCCGATTTTTAGCACACCAAATCGTTTCAGTCGTCTTTGTTCTAATGGTGCTCTTTTTTCCGAATTTTCAGTATCTTCCACTTGTTTAACCAGTTCGGAATGGTTTCCGAAGGCAACACATTATAATGAGAAGACTTTTTATATTCACTTTCCAAAAGTTCTGTTAAAAACTCCACTTTCTCTCCACTGTTCTTGATCAGGTTGTCTACTAGATGTGGAAGGCTTATCCATGATTACACAAAACAAAACTGTATACAAGAAACAACAACACGTCCGCAATCCCATGCAGAAGGAGCATTTTAAATCAACAAACGGGATAGCGGGGACACGTGAGACGTGAAAAATACAATCAGGATTTCCTGGATGCACAGGTCTCGACACGAACCTGCTTAAACATTTTTGACTAAGAAAAACCAGTTTAACCTAAAGTGTACTTATTCATATTAGGCTAAACCAGTTCAGCCTAGGCTAAAATAGTTTGTCCTATCGGCCATAGGACGGACCAGTTAGGCCTAGTCTGTACCGGTTTCTCCTAACACATATAGGATGAACTAGTTTGACCTAGGAAAAACAAGTTTATCCTAAAATCTGGTTTGGCCGGTATCATATACATCATAATAAAATCCTTATTTTACTTCATACACAATCGCATTCGTTTTCATTCTTTTAAATCACAAACATAATTTTATCTTTTATTTTAAATGTCATATAACATAGCGAGAATATGTATATATTTTCGCTATGTTGTTATTTAATAAGTATATGAAGGACTTTAGTTTTTTTTGTATACTGCATTGGTTACTTTTTTTGTTGTGTTGTTATTTAATACTATTCTCTGTTTTTATTTTTATATATAAATTTATATGTTTTGTCTGTATGTGTGCAATAAACGTCATTTCTTTCTTTCTCATTATATCAGGCCAACGTCAATACACATCTACGAGACTGGTGTCGTAAAGTAGATAAGTAGACTTGCTTCACATGTCACGCACACGTATTTGGTGTGCTCCACTTTTATATTACCCTTTTAATTACTTCATGTCACTCTACAATTCATTATTTCTAGTAGTATTTGGGAGTGTTAAAAGTTTCCGAATATTCCTAAATTGTAAATACCCTAAAAGCTTTTGAAAATTACTAAATATTGGGCATAGGTGCACATTAAAAACATTATTATTATACTTATAAATACCTATATAAAAGGTATCTAAATATAAAAGTATCCAATAAATAAATTAAGTCATGTTCATTTTACGAAGTCAAAAAGCACGTGATTATTAAGTGTCAACATTACAAAACTTACATACCGCATAACCAACTTAATAAAAATTATATCTCTGGTGTTAGATGTGACAGGCATTTACTAATTAACGTAAGGTTTTTTGCTAATTCCTCAAAAGGCACTGTAAGGTATCTAGAAAAAGTGTTTTATTTTTATGCGTGTTACGAATACTCGTTAGAAGGGTATGAAATATATAACACATTCAGTCTGCCTGAATGTTTGCAGAATAAATGTCAAAATGTTATAAGAAAGGAAAATATTTTTGTATTATACAATAAGTCCATAAACTCAAAGCGCTTAGCGAGCGCTGGAAAGAGCTAAGCTAGATGTTTCTCTGGTGAACCAGGTCACCGATATTGTCATCCGTAATGATTTCTTGATAACATGAATGTTTGACATTAAATAAAATTAACTTTACAGATCTATCGCGTTTATTTTAACTTATTTTTTGATTCCTGACTTTTCAGGTGCTTTACAGCACCTATGTTCACGGGAGAATTAATGTGTTTGACGTCGCAATGTCATAATTAGCTGGGCTACTACCCCTCCTCCAGCTTTTGAATGTAAATTTTTGGTACGATATACGCAGAACAAGCTTACAGTATCTTAAAATCTTGCAGTGGTATGCTTCGGTTTGGATTTAATTTTATTAATTGTAGGATAACAAGCAGATGGTAGGACCCAGCCATCTTCTCTATTGAAATTTAGATATTTTTTAACTTCAATAACCTCGCGAATCAGCCTTGGTAGGTATCACAGTTCTTTTGCGAGGATTGGTGGTGTATCAAATTCGATGTAATAGCGTCCCCACTATATTAAATCAAATCTTAAACATGTTTATAGACTGCAGATTTACGAAGCGTCGGTGCTTTACGACAGCATATATTTTACATGTTTTACAACATCTTAATCGTTCAAGTCATTGAGAAGTTACTCTATTACTAACAGCCGCACACACGATTATAGGAATGATAAAATAAATAAATTAATGTAATTTAGAAAAGACAAGGTTTTTTTTAATTTTTCTTCAGCGTACAAAGGTAGATTTCCGAATAGTGTTGATGATCTGATGACAAGCTGCTGCATACAGAACTCTCATTCCCGAAAGGGCATTAGAAGAAAGTCCACCGTCACAATTCTTATTGGAAGACCTCGCATGTTCCAGAAAATACTTTTTATGAAATTTCACAGATAAGTAATTTGACCTAAGCGTAATATTCTTTTTTGGTATGTTGTGTAAGTATATCGTAATCAGATGAAATCGCATGAAGGCCATACAGGTTTACGCACCAACCTTGGCACATCACGATGAGGAGGTGAAGGAAATGTATAAGGATATTTCCAAAGCCATGCATTCCTCCAAAACCCACTACACGGTGTTGATGGGAGACATCAACGCAAAACTAGGCACAAGAGAAAACGGTGAGCTGAAGTTAAGGAAATTTGGAGTAGGGCAACGGAACCGAAGGGGCCAGCAGCTGGCCGACTTTATGGAGAAAGAGGGACTCTTTATGATGAACTCTTTCTTCCAGAAGCGGCCCCACAGGAAGTGGACCTGGTCGAGCCCCGACGGTTCGACAAAAAATGAGATTGCCTTCATTATGACGACCAGACGCCAACTGTTCAGTGATGTCTCAGTGATCGCAAGGGTGAAAACTGGCAGCGATCACCGAATGGTTAGAGGCACACTGAACGTTAAGTTGGAGAGTTAGTCGTAGAGTCGTCTAATGAAGTCAACGCTCCGTCCCCTTCGTGCTCTAATCCAGAATCCCGAAAATTTTCAGCTCGAGTTACGTAACCGCTTTCAGTGCCTACAAGATTGCAATGCAGTGGACTATATGAATGATAAGCTAGTGGAAACTGTCCATGCGGTCGAAGCTAAATTCTGCAATACCCGCCGCAGAAGAATACAAAAACTCTCCGATCACACTCTTGATCTCATGGCTGTTAGACGGGAGATGAGGCTGCAATCGTCAACAGATTTGACAGCATACAGGCAACTAAACAGACAGATCTCCAAATGCATGCGACGAGACTTACGCAACTTTAATACTGCTCGTATTAAAGAAGCGATCGAGCGGAACCAGGGCTCCAAAGTCTTTGCCAGAGATCTGTCTGCCAGTAAGAGCCAACTGTCAAAGCTGAAGACTGAGTGTGGCAGCATCGTTTTCGGGACACCTGAGATTTTGAGTGAGATTGAGAGGTTCTATGGGCAGCTGTACACATCATCGTTGGAGCCACACGCAAGTGTGAGTAACGATCCAAGAGCAAGTCTTATCCGACACTATTCCGATGATATCCCGGACGTCAGTCTAAACGAGATTAGAATGGCTCTCCAGCACCTTAAAAACGGCAGGGCCCCAGGCGAGGATGGAATTACAGCGGAGCTTCTGAAAGCGGGTGGAACACCGGTACTTGAAGTCCTTCAGAAGCTCTTCAATTCCGTCCTCCATGGTGGCACTGCTCCAGAGGCGTGGAGCAGAAGTGCGGTGGTCTTGTTCTTTAAGAAAGGCGACAACGCTCTCTTGAAGAACTACAGACCGATTTCCCTTCTGAGCCGCGTCTACGTGCTGTTTTCGAGAGTCATTACGAATCGTCTCGCACGCAGACTTCCAGCCTCCCGAACAAGCCGGTTTCCGAAAAGGCTTCAGTACCATAGACCACATACATACCCTGCGGCAGATTGTACAGAAGACTGAAGAGTACAATTTGCCACTTTGCCTGGCGTATGTGGACTATGGAAAAAGCCTTTGATTCCGTCGAAATTTGGGCGGTGCTGCAGTCCCTTCAGCGGTGCCAAGTTGACTGTCGGTATATCGAAGTGCTGAAGTGTTTGTACAGTAGGGCTACGATGGCTATCCGAGTACAGAACCAGAGCTCGAAACCTATCCAACTGCAGAGAGGTGTAAGACAGGGTGACGTTATATCCCCGAAACTCTTCACCGCTGCTTTGGAAGACGTTTTCGAGCTACTGGACTGGAAAGGATACGGTATTAACATCAATGGCGAGTACATCACTCACCTTCGATTTGCCGACGATATAGTCCTTATGGCAGAATCGCTGGAGGACTTAAGCACTATGCTCAATGACCTCAATAGTGCCTCCCAACGGATAGGTCCTTAAGATG